AAGAGTTTTGTTTACCTGGTTCACCCAAGAGTTGGATTGCAAAATAGAACATGCAGCCCTTCTAAAGATATAACTGCTTGATTTAGTCCACTTTCTCCCTGTTGGCATCTGATCTGAAAAAAAAAAAAGAATACTAATTTGTCAGGCTAAGAGATAATTTTATACAAGTTTTTATAACTATTACCATGTACTTAACATTGCAGTTCAGAGGGTTGTACAGGACGGGGTCTCTGGCATGGTTCACGAATGAAAAAATAGCGAATTACAGATCACGGACATTGAAATTTCATTTTCCGGAATCATAAAAATAAGCAAGCAAGGTAAATCTTTTTAATAACCTACTCACTCTAAAGAGTGTTACTAGGCCATATAACATTTTTGAAAATCAAGTGTAGGACATCAAGGAAAGCCCTCTGTTACTTGGTAGTTGTGGATGCCTTACAAAACGTTACAATATTTCACATTTGATGTTTTCAGTCTTAACAAATCCCTTGGAGGGATTGCGTCTCAAAATCACATAGGATAGAGTGATTAAATCCCGAATGTCGGTTGATAATTCATGTTCTTCACGGGCCACACAAAACCTTTAAGTCACAGATCATAACGAACAAGAAGATCTGTTAGATCTTATAACCGCACTTTTAAAATTTAACTGTTTTCCTAGTACTACTGTCGCAATGCAGTGCACATTCCAAAGCAGTCCTTGATGATTCATTGGTTACCGTTGACCCCATATCACTTGGTCAACACAAACTGTGTTATTGCACCATCACTCTTGTGAAATCTATGATGACGTAATGGTCATAATCTGGAAGTTCGCTCGGGACATGCCCATGAATGATAAGAAAAGGAAACAAGTGTCACGCTATTAATTACGCTATCTATAATGAACAGCTTTCTTCCTTAAAATTCAAAATTTAATTTGTTTGTGCTATGTGGAAAGGACAAGTAAAGTCACACGAGTCACACAATCCAAGGTTTACACTATCCACAGCTAATTTTAGAATTTACGGTTGTGTTTTTTCCCCCTAACATTGACATAAACGCTGCAAGTTCTGGCAAGCTCCTGTTTACCTCAGCAAATATTTGATTTTCCTTTAGATCTCTTAACTTGCTGTGATGAAACAGCCAAAGAATTTACTTCATTTGCTTAAACCCACAAGAAATACTCGCAAAATTGCAAATAAATTAATGACCGTCGCTTCTGGCGAAATAAACTTGCAAAGGAAACACAATCTTATTTGTCATGCAGCGAAAGTGAAAGCTGCAATGTCAGCACATTCCATGGCTGACGTAACACCTTTTTTTAGCATATTTTTTATTCCCTTCGAATCCAACGCTTCAATAAAACCAAAAGAAAATATATTTTACACACATTATAAAGAGAACAATATCCGTAACATTTTCCATGTATTAATGTTTCAACAGCTTTTGGTGAATAAACTTCACAGGTTGAGTGATTCAAAATTTGGCCGAGAGAAAATTTGGGTCTGGTCACCGACAAAACTAAAAAAAATTAATAAATAAACCCTGTGCAGAGCTGCGCTGGGCCCGTGACCACGTCGTTAATAATTTCCTAAATTCACATTTCACGGAAAATAAAGTCATCACAAGAATACCCCTGTATGACCCTCAGTCTGTGAATCAGTCAACTAAGAGGTCAGTCAGCCAGTCAGTCAGTCAGTCTGCCTGTCTGTCTGTTTGTCTGTCTGCAATTCAGCTAATCATTTTATCTGTTAGTATATTCAGTTGCCAGTTTTCAGTCAGTCAGTTAGTCACTTATTCACCTTGCTTGCTCTTTACGCTTGCTCAACAAACTGCCTAAGGGAAGCACTCATTGTTACTTATTTCATTGCCAGAGAAGTTCACCTAGTCAGTATGTCAAATAGTGTAAATGTCATTGAAAGGCCGCGTGCAAGAATGTCCCCTAGATTTTTTGGCGATTTTGAAAGTGCTCAAAAATAGCTGAATTTTGGCATGTGGGCTTCGTTTTACCTGAGAAACATTGCTCTGAAGTTTTTTTGGCTG